AATGTTACCTAAATGCAGTTCCGTCTCCATAATAATAGAGGAGGAATATAACTCCTGACCTGTTAGATGTCAAACGTGCGGAGTTCATGGTTGTACAATATCGAGGAATGAAGTCGAAAACCAAAGGAAGAAGTTAGGAGAGTTATATTGGAAACAAGGAGAAGGAGAATAGCTCCTGGATTTTGAGGAGGGGTCCTGAGTGGGTGGCCACCAAAGCCCTTTGTCAGGGGTAATTTATACACCAAAGTCACAGTGTGGGAATAACGTGGATCAAACTGCAATCAACCTATAGGATTACAAGTCTAGCCATTTAACTAACATCGATCCAATAGGGAAATGAGTCGTGTAGCAAGGGTTCATGGAAAGAACAAAGGCATTTTGGGGAAGGGATGGGTCCACATGCTCTGGTCACCCACCTGGGTATCTGAGGCCTTTGTGGACTTTGTGGACCAGGAGGTGCTAATTACAGTAGAATCTCAAGTTGCTATATGTCTCCTAGGGAACCATGCAAGCCTGGCCTTTATGTCTCCATCCTGAGGCCTTGTTCTCTTTAGATTCGCCTCCAGCCACAATTCCATTGTCTTTATTTTCTTATGCTGACTTCCTTGAGGGCCCAATCTTTCTCTGACTGTACCTTAATTTCTATCTAACCTAGATGTCTATAATAATAAGACCTCATCCTACTTCAGATTTCTCTGAGCTTCTGTCTCTCTTACATAGTATAAGTGTCCTTATAATATTCTCTGTCCTTACTCAAGTTAACCTCAGTCTCGTTGCTTGGAGCAAAATGAACGTAATAAAACAGTTCATATTCTACCAATAGGAAAATGAAAGCTAAACTACACAAAGAGATTTCATGACAGTCGGAGGTCTTGTCGAACCTGCACTTCTCCGGCGGGTCTTTTGGCCCAGTGTGATAGTTACCTATGGTGTCATCTCCAGTGAGAAGGGCCCAGCCGATTGGCTCAGCACAGTGCTGGTTGTGTCTGGACCTTGGACTTACTGATGGGGAAGATCTTCCCCACCCCGTGTGGGTGGCACCAACAGATAGGGTTGTAGCCTGGATGGAATAAGAAGGGAAAGAAGGAGGAAGTATCGCTTCTGCACTTTCAGAGGAGCCCCAGTCTTTGCCATGGCTTTGGAAATCCATCTCCAGGATTCCAGTGCAGACTCTACAGCCTCTCAGTCTGACCCTTTGGCTTCCTGATACAGATTCACATGGACTCTGCGGCAAGGCCAGGCCTTCTGCTTTTGACAGGAGCCTTCAGATCTCCAGTGTGCAGACAGCCCTTTTGTACTCTACCACACCTGACTCCGCAGGCGGCCACTGCAAGCCTACTTCACAAATCCTATATGCCCAGGATCTTTTTGTGCTACTGCAGCCCCCTCATGTTCCCTTTCCTTTCTTCCCTCTGCTTTTTCCTTCCCCCTTCCCTGAAGTTTTATGGCCCTGTAGCCCTAGTAACCTGGGTCATGTCTCATTATCTCAGCACTTTGATGAGAAAGTGCCAGCTATTACAGCAGGAAACCCTTGGGCCTGTCTTGGCCCCTGACTTCCCCATTTCTTCTCTGTACACCCATCTGGTGTTTAGCATGAGATTCTGTCCCAGGAAAGCTCTGGGGGTGTGTCATAATATTGTTTGATGGGGACTTTCATTTAGCTTCCCAGGTATTTACAAGTTGCCTTCCCAGCCAGAGTGACTGTATCTGGTATCTGATTTGTTTTGGGAGGAAAAAAAAAAAAAAGCTATATTGCTCAGCTCAGTATCTACCTACAATAGATAATCAGTAAATACCCACCTTGGAAAACCAACCTGCCCTAGTAGGTCATCAGTAAACACCCACTGACAAGATTGGGTAAGAAGCCTTACATTACCCAAAATGCTGGCTAAGCTGCTGTAGTGAAACTACAGTGGCTCAAACATGGTTGGAGTTATTTTGTTCCCACTTGGTCCAGGGCTGCAGGTAGCGCTGTCCTATAAAATCCTCCGGCTCAGCTTCCAATTTCTTGCTCTGCTTTTTCTCTCTTCATAGACAGGGCTAGTTCACCAGGCCCATATTCACATTCTAACCTGGGGAAAGGAGAAAGGAGGAAGTGACAGGAAAACAGATAGTTGATTTATAAAAATGCAAGTTGGCTATGGGAGTACATGCCTGTAATCCCAGTACTCTGGGAAGCTGAGGCAGGGGGATTACAAGTATTATAGATAGATGAACCAGGTAGAAATATTACAGGCCGTCAGGTAGGGCTGAGTCCTCGAGAGGCCCAGGACAAAGGTGAAACACAGCACAGCTGCACATCGGCTGAAAAGCAGGCCTCAAGATGGAGACAAGATGACCAGACCCACATGATTCTCCAAAGAACTGGCTTAGTGAAGTACAGATAGGGTGACCGGAGACCTCTGGACCCACCCCCCCAGGAGAAGCCTTGTTCTCTCCATCCACGCTTGCCACGTGACTCGCTTCCCAATTGGTCCACCATTACCTAAGTGACTGTACTTATAGACTCATTGGGTGTTCACAGCTGTGGCCACGTTTTACCCACATGGTTTCACCCTACAAAACTCCTCTGTAAAGTGGGGTCCTTGGGCTGCCCACTCGGGACCCCTCCTGCCCCTCAGGAGCTATCCTATCAATAAAGATCTTCCTACTTTTAACCTCTGTTGTTCCCAGGACTCGTTCTTCAATTTCTAGAGAATAAGAACTCAGCGTATCATACAGTTAACAGGTTAGGAGATAGAACATTTCATATATCCCATGACACAAGTATGAAAACTGGAGCCCAGCCTTGGCCACTTAGTGAGTCCCTGTCTCAAAATTTAAAAATGGCTGAGGATGTAGCTCAGTGTGAAGGCCCTGGGTTCGATTTGCTAGTACCACGACACACACACACACACAAATTGGTTCAAATTTGCACCTATTATCTTTGCTTACATTTCACTGGCTAAATCATTGTCACATTGTCACAACAGCTTGGTAATGATGCTGGGAAATAGAGAATCTAACTGGGCAGGTATGTGTTCTACTAAAACTCAGGGCTCTGTTGCATAAAGACATATGGAGGATCATTTGACCACCAAATGGCTACAATTAAAAGACTGATGACATCAAGTAGAAGGGCATATGAGATGGTAACTAACATCTCAGCTTCAGAGAAAGCTCTGGGCGTTCCTGCCCTGGCTATTTACCTAAGAGGATTAATGACCTATGTCCACACAAAGACTGGTACAAGGGTGTTCATAGGAACCTTCTCCATAAAAGCCCCAAACTGGAAACAAAGGTAAGTGTTTAAATGTGCTGTGGGATGTTTGGCTGATCCACTTGTCCCAGGGAAATGAACTTGTAGATTAAAGGAGATGGTTATTACATAATATTGATACATTTCACTTTATAGAAACACAGTCATAAGATATAATTTTTCACATATGTACTTTTTAAATGAAATAAGGGGCCCATGAAGTGTTTAGGGCCTGCAGAACTCGTAATGTAGCCCAACAAACACGGATGAATATTAAAAACATAGGTTAAACAAAAAACTAATACAAAAGACTATGCGCTGTGTGATACATTTACATGAAAGTTTAGAACAGGCAAAACTGATATGCTGATGATGATCAGAAAGAGGTTGGTTCCGGTGTGCGGAGGGATTGCTGAACTTGGGGGAAAGGCACTTTCTGGGATAGTAGACTTTGGGGGACCAATGAAGGCCAAGCTGGGCTGTCTTTCGGCTGGGGCCGGCCTAAGCCAAGACCAGGATGTTTGACATCTTGTTTTTGGTGGTTGCACCTACTGTCTCTCCAGTTTTCTCAATTCATGGAACTGAATCTTTAGAGTCTGTGTATTCATTGCATATTAATTACGCCACAATTTTTAGAAAGGAAGAAGGGGAGAATGGATATGAAGGTATAATTACAAGCTCTGTGACAGATTTGATGGGATTAGCTGACAAGGTTTAGTGTGGTGATTTAGTGAGAGTCCCTGGGAACACAAATGCAAAAGCCTGTGCACTCTGACGGGCCAGTGGGGACACCACTTTGTATTGTCAAGGTTTTCTATTGCAATCAACAATATAGATCTGGTTGGTATAAGCAGAGAAAGAATTTATCGGCAGACTAACAGGAAGTGTTCCGAATAGCTCTGAAGGCAGGCAGAAATGAAGAGGGCAGAACGCAGGTAAGATCACACCACAATTCCCAGCAGCCTTTGGGTCGAGACAAGGCAGTGGGGTCCCAACAGCGCCAGTCCCACCCACAGCCCATCTGTGTTGTTCAGATTCTTGCGGTCCGGGGCTTCCATGGTCTAGCACAGGGCCGTTGTAGAAGTTCTGCTCCAGCCACCGAGTGAACTGCAGATTAGGGGTGGAAGGTCACCCTGGCCCACCCATCTGGAAGGGAAACCAGCTGTACTGGTGAGGCAGGTGAGAGCCTGCGTTGTAGAAGTATCTCGGGAGACAGGGTGGCAGGCCTTGGGGCCAATCTGGTCCAAAGAAAGGCTGGGAGAGAGGGATGGGAGACTTCTAACTTCAGAGGAGAGGGGAGGTTGTGTGTGTGTGTGTGTGTGTGTGTGTGTCTGTGTGTGTGTGTGTCTGTGTGTGTGTATGCGGGTGTGTGTGTATGCGAGTGTGCGGTTGGCAATGACATCCAAGAAAGGGAAGGAACAGGTTTTATTTCATCTGTTTGGGGTGGTTGGTTGGGAAGGGATAGGTTTTTGATGTGCCGACTTCGAGATAAAGACTTCTTCCAGTAATTGAAATTACACTTTAGGGGACCAACGAAGACAGCTGGGCTCTTTCGGCTGGGGCCGACCTAAGCCGAGGCCAGGGGGTGGGAGGAAGGCTGGAGGGAGGTTCCCCGGGACTGCGGCCAATTAGGAAGGGGGTCCCTCGCCCTCTTCCCTCTCCCCTCCCCGGGCGGCCCTGGGCGGGTCGCGTGAGCGCCACCTCCCCTGCGCGCACGGCTGTCAACCGGAAGACGCGGCGGGGCAGGCGGGGCCCGCAGGGGGCGGTCGCGGGGCCAGGGCTGCCCGAGGCCGATGCCGGGGGCTGCAGCGCTGGGCGCGGCGGCGGTCGCCGCGGTGGGCGCTCTGCTCCTCCTGCGGCCAGAAGACGCGGGGCCCGGGGCTGGCCTCAGGTAACCCCCGGGTGGGACCGAGCTGGGCCCCGCACGGCCGTTCGGGCCGGGGATGTCGCGGGGAGAGCGCCCCGCAGTGTGCGCGCCGGTGTGCGGCCAGGTGCGGGCGCCCAGGTGAGGCCCGGGAGCGCGGCGCCCGGCAGGTGACTCAGCACTTTCCCGTCCGGGCGACGTCTCCGAGGTGACCGCGTCTTCTCCCGGAACTGATAAACAACCCCGTTCCCGAGCTTAACATCGCCAGACCAGCACCTTATCGCTGTTCTTTCCCCAGCATGGCCGAGACCCAGGCGCTGCCGAAGCTTCGGGAAGACTTCCGGATGCAGAAGAAATCTGTCTTTATTCTGGGCGCCAGCGGGGAAACGGGCAGAGTGCTCTTAAAAGAAATCCTGGAACAGAACCTGTTTTCCAAAGTCACGCTCATAGGCCGGAGGAAGCTCACCTTCGAGGAGGAAGCATACAAAAACGTGGTGGGTATTTTAGCTGGGACTCAAAAATGTATCACCTGCTTTGGTTTTCTAAGGTGAACGGATTTCACACCCCGAAGCTGAACGCAGCCGGGCCAGTGGGGAAAGCAGGGACCCGATCATAATTTGTCCGTGACTGATCCAGAAACCGGACTCCTGGCTTGTAGACCTCCATCTCACCACCGGGAACTGGATAAAGCAGGTCCTAGATTGTGATGGAGTTGGAGAGACAGAGAGAAGAGCTTTGTTTTTAGCTCCTACAAGCTGGCTTTAGACATTGTCCAGGAACCGTAACAGTTTTCTCAACTATATGGCTTATCTTGTCTACCCGCACACTTCACAGAATGCTGAGAATCTGAAAGCGCTTTTGTAGAGTGGCTTGCCCTGCCTGACTGCCCAGCTGTGTCTGTAAAAGGAACATTACCTTCTACTTAAGTTCCTTGTAAATGGGCAAGCAAACCATACCCCAGATGTTCATCTGGTGATAGTGCCTCAATATCTGAAGCCTGAGCTTCCCAGAGATTCTGATCTCTAAACTATGGTCCATGAATTGCAGCAAACTAAATGCCATAGTGTGTTCCCCAAGGCACGACAACTACAGAATTTGGTCCTCTGGGTTTCATAGGAGGAATATTCCAAATAACAAGCGGGCTTGCAAATAAATGTTCTCGACTCCCATAGCTCTGTATTCAGATCGTTTCACTTGTATCTTTGGCCTGTTTAAAGCAGACATCTTTGCTGCGTCCTATGCAGCCTTTAGGCGGTCTTCATAGCCGATTTTCTGGGCCTTGTGAAATGCTTCTGGTAATTGGAACCAGCCTTTGAGATCTGTGCTTTAGAAAACAGTTTAGGCGCACATCATCTGACCACACGCTTTATGAAAACCTGCTTTTCTTCAGCGTTTTATACAGTGCCAGAAAAGTGCTTTAGGACAAGGCTGGGGATGTAGCCCTGTGGTAGAGCACTTGCCTGGCATGCCTGAGGCTCTGTGTGCAATCTCCAGCATTTCCAAAAAAAAAGATGGTAGCAAAGCAAGCCAAGATTTTATGTGAACTCCTGGGTGATGGAATTTCTCCAACTGTAAGTTTCACAGCAGACTCACAAGGTTGGATACAGGCTCTTTTTAAATTTCGGTGTGCATTAGAATTACCATGAGTACTTGTTCAGAGTGCAGAGTCCAATTCAGAAGTGTTGGCATGGGACCCAGGAATATGCCTTTTTATCAAGCACTCATGGGCTGACTCTAATGCAGGTAGTTTATGAATTGGACTGAAGGGATTTTCACCACATTGTATAGCTGAAAAAAACCAGAGGCATGTATGATCAATAACTTGGCGACAGTTACTTGCCTGCTAAGTAGTAGGACCAAGATGTGAATTTCGTCTTCTTTAAGAATCCAAACACCAGTCTCTTATTCCTGTATTATACCTCAGTGGTCTCCTTCCTGGTAAGTTACAAATACTTTTTTTTTGGCATAACTAAATTATAATTGAGCCTGAGTTTAGAAATCTGTATCACCCCTCTTCCAGTTATATGTACTTGGACGTAGTGATTTCCAGTTCAGCTAATTGTGTTTTGGTGGGAGAAGATGCATTTGTGAACTTGGTAAGTGGTTAGACCTGTCAGTAACGAGCTATAGTTTATTCTTTAGAAGGATGTCCTGTGTGTTTTTTAAATAACATGAAGTTATAAACTCCCGTGCCCTTTTTTAGAATCAAGAAGTGGTGGACTTTGAAAAGCTGGATGACTATGCATCTGCCTTCCAAGGTCATGATGTTGGATTTTGTTGCCTGGGCACCACCAAAGCAAAAGCTGGCGCGGTAAGGAAGAAATGCACTTACCCCCTTGGTACTGGCCAGTGGTGCAGGGATTCCTTTCTTGCTTGCTCTTTTTTATTGCATCTGCTGCCCTAACTTTGATAAACTTGGAATAGTACTGATAAATTCTTCTTTCCTTCAGGTTAACCCCTAAGCTCAGGCCTGAGCACTGTGTACCTCATAAATATTTACACAATCTTGCCTATAGCAAATATTACTGTCACTATAATTTATCCTGACTAAGACAGTGACGTCCATGTAAATGTAAGTGGCTCATGCTTTTGGCAGTAAGCTTGCTTCATCATCAGTCTTCAGTGCCATTATCAATGTTTTAAACTTGAAGCTTTCTCTCTCGCTTGAGTGATTGGCTTTAAACTTTTTTCACGCCACACTTTAAACTTCTGGGCCAGCTCATCGGAATAGGGAGGCACGATTCAGCCAGCCCCCGTGGTGACTGGGCATCAGCAGTGATTCAACCCCAGGCATGATTCAGCCTCCCTGACGCAAAGCTGTTTAAACACACACTTTATTTCTTTTTTAATGATGTTCTACGTGAGTTACCCCTTTCCAGAAGTCATAGTTTACTATATAGTTAAAGGTCATGGTTTGAAGTGTAGATCCAGTTGAATGTTAATGGATCCTATTTAATTTATATCGTAATGGTAGTTATTGCTCTGGCAGAATTTCCTTGCTGGAGCTGAGCATGTCTATTAAATATGCAGGGCTATGATTCTGCCACAGGGACTTCCTGAAGGTTGGTAAGCCAGCCCGATGCATCTGAATCATTAGTGAAGTAGTGAGTTATACCAACTGAGTAGTTAACTCAGTTGTGTTTCTCTAGATACCTTGGTGATCTGGAGAACAATCCTATTTAGTTTTCAGTTGGGATATATTTCTGTATCTTGCGCAGCTCTGCATGTCCCTCCTGGAGCACTGCTTGGTTTCCACTCTGCTGAGAACTGTGGATTACAGAGACGTTTGATTTTCCTAGGAAGTGGCACATTATCCCTTCTGGAACGGGTCACGTTCCTGCTCAGCAGTCTGCTCTGTCCCCGGGACAGTCTCAATCGCTGTGCCCTCCAAAAGCACTAGAAAACTTTTGTTCTTATACACTGCAGGCTTCACTGTCTCAAGGGCTCGCCTGGTTTCACTGGTGACTCAGCAGAATAAAAATCTGCAATCTGCATTGGGCAGTTGATTTTCAGCACAGAAGGCCAATATCATAGGGTGCTCCCGGCAAAGTTCTGAATTGCTTTGTTGCATTCACATTGTGCAGTACAGTTTTTATCAGAGCAATTCACTCTCCAGGATATTTTTTTAAATAGGTTTGATTTCTCACTTCTTAGGCCATTCAGTACCTCCTGTTCACCTTTAGATTCTTTAAGGGAAAGTTGAAAAGATAAAGGAGAAGATTAGTAAGCCAAATAGTCTCAGAAATGAGTTAGTACTTTAAGGCTTAAAAAGATGATGACAAGGGCTGGGGATTTAACTCAGTGGTTCTGGTGCCTGCCTCACAAGCACAAGTTCCCAAGTTCGATCCCCAGTACAAAAAAAAAAAAAAAAGATTTGTTAAAACTCAGTGAAAAGCAGTGTGTGTATGAGATAAAAGACAGCAAGCAATTCTCTCACTGATCATTAAGTAAATGATGGATTAATTCCTAATTGAGGTATTTCACTTTCTTCAGATAACAAGATCATTCTCATCTAAACACATATTTTAGCTTTTTTCCTTTACTAAAGATTTACATACTGAAAGATTTACATACTGTAAAATGCACAGAATTTAAATATTCAGCCTAATAAGTCTGAACAAATGTATACAATTAGTGAGTCTGGCTACAGGTAAACAGAAGTTCTTTGTATAGTCTTACACTCTTCTCTACAATAAAAATGACATGAAAAATAGTTACCCAAAGAATATACACTTGAATTTCCAATACCCAAATGAAGTTATCAAATAGCTCCACTACCCCAGGAAGTTCTCTGGTGCCCTTTTCCAGTCATCACAACCCCTACCCAGAGGTAACCACTGTCCTGATCTCTATGATCCTACCTTAGTTTTGGCTGTTCTTGTATTCTTCATAAATGGCATCACACAGTACACACTCATCTCTGTTTGGCTTCTCTTACTCTGAACAGTATTTCTGAGAGTCTTCTCTTGTGTAAATCAGTAATTCATTCCTATTATGAGAAAGCTACTATGAACATTTTTATATGGTCTTTTCATCCACATATACTTTATTCTTCTTGGTGCAGAAAGATTTCATGGAAAAGAAACACGTAAGAGTTTCACATATAGGGCTGAAGATTTAGCCCAATGATGCCACACCTGCCTCGCAAGCACAAGGTCCTGAGTTCAATCCCCCGTACCAAAAAAAGTTTCACATATAAAAATGGGAAATAAGGCAGTACTGAGAGCTATAAGCATACACACACACATACACACACACACACACACACACACACACACGGAGGTATATCAACTATATGTGCATATGTTATATAATGCAAAAAGTAGATATTTGGTATTTATATTTACATATGTGCATATGAACTTGAATAATTACAAGAA